TTGTATCGATCTGATAAGTTAAGCCTTTTTCAACTGATTTTTATAGTTTGTTCTTATGTTGTGCTGTTACACCACTGTCCCAGGTTAGGGGGAGGGTTGAGCGCTCTCAAACATGTTTAACCCGCCACATTTTTTATGAGCCTGTCCCATGTCAGGAGCCTGTAATTCAGTGGTTGTCGTTGGTTCGTGTCTTTTTTCGTAAATTGTTTTGTTATAAATTAGGCCGTTAGTTTTCTCAGGTGAATGGTTTCATATTTTTCATATCGGAACCTTTTATAGCCGACTATACGGTATGGGCTTTTCTCATTGTCGAAAAGCCGTACGGTTCCCTATAATTGCTTACATCCACTTCATTTTAACTTTGGTGGATATTTGTTTCATTGGCAATCATACCACATCTCCTCCTTATTTTTATATCGAATACATTCGATTTTTTTTCTGAAATATTGAATGTAAATAAGTTACTATCCCTAATGTATTGTGCGTCATTTGATTGGGCGACTTTTTTATTATAGAAAACTACGAAAGCAATTTCCTTGAGAATCCGGAATCTTAAATATTGGTCAATTAGGAGTGTCTTGATTGTTTGAATAGAAAAGATAAAAGCTTTCTTGATGAAATATGACTATCAAGTTTATTTCAATAGGAAGAGATGTATCATAGACTTCCCAATTTTATTATCAAGACACACAAATAACAGTACAAATGGAAAAGCAACACTAAATCATACTAGTACAATAAATAAACTCACCATAGATACCAGGCTTTAAAGTTTGTACCCCAGACGCGCGTTTTATCTACAAAAGACATTCATTAAAAACCACATGCAGCTCAATGAAAACGTCATCACAACATCATGCAAGAACAATTTATTACATAAAAAATACATTTCTAAACAATAGAATATCATGTATAGTACAGTTGACACATCACACACAGAACAGATGACTATGTCACATTTTACAAAATAAGTGTGTTCTGTACAATTACTGAAGATACAGTCAGTTATTATACAGTAATGCCAACGACTAAGCTCCACCCCCCTTGCGTTGTAAGAAAATGTATCTAAATAACAGTGATTGCGATTTCAAAGAAACAAATCAACTGCCATTCAAAAAGTAATATACAGCGGTTCATAGGACGCAGCATAGTTCAATGTTTAGGAATATACCACACAAAGCCCAGTCAGTGTGTAATAGGACGTCATGCACTGCGCAGTTCATTTTGTACATTTATGAATTATTAACAAACTAAGGTTTCAACTCCCTCAGGCAAAGTGACCTTAGATGGATTTGGCTATTATTGTTAGGTCATTGTTTTTGCATATAGCTTTTTAACTGTTTCGGTTCTTATATAAACTTGGCTTTCAGATATTCGGCATTGAGCGTTCCTGATGAAGGCAAATCCAGAATTGCGCTTCTGACGCATGCCATATACTATTTAGTGGCTCTCTATTTTATATCTTTATGTAATTGTGTACTGTATATTATTTAGAGATGAGACGGAAGCACTTTATACATTTGGTGCGTCCAAAGTCAAAAGCGCTTTCGTCAGGAATTCACCTTATCGGCATGTGTTCGCAATTGCTGGACATCACAGACGTCACATGAGAAAATGTTTGCACACCACAAAGGACGAGTGGTTGTTGTATGACGACAATAGTTCAAGTGTTGCAAATTCTTAGGTGAAGTGTCGTAGGTACCCAAATAGCGATATTAAACGTCTATTCTCAAACCCATGAGTTTATGTTTTAAACATGATTTTTATCATTTTGGGTTTGAGCATTGACCATACTTTCTTAAAGTGCTTAAAAATGTCACACAAACGTGACCTGATGAATCTATGAAAACCTGCGTGATTAAATGCGACACGTTGACACATAGAATCGTGTAACAAGTGTTTGTTTATTGATTGTTTTAAGCCTATATTCATTTACTTTATCCACTTTCATATTTATAGTGTAATACATATGTCAACCAGAATGAAATTGCAATTAAAACTCGATTTAACTATACGGATATTGCCACGAAGCCTAAGCCAAAAACATTTTGATTAAAAACAGTCATCAGAATATTTATGAACATCCTCATCCTGTCAACTCAGATATTTGTATTTTTCTTTATATATACTTGGTATTAGTAGAGATATTTAACTGATATGGTCTTTTTTTATCTAATTTTATTTACTCAAATATAGTTATATGAACTGCGTAAAAATAAAATTGCTTATTTGCCGAGTGAAATATTCGATTTTTCGTATTCTCTCACAGTTCCTATCGAAATCTTTTTACATTTAGCAGACTGTAAAGTAAACATTGGTTGCCCTCTTATCTGATCTTTAATAATAATACACTCGAAGGTTTTCTATTTTCATCAAGGGTACAATTTAGAATTGTGAAACTATTTTCCAAATTGCATGTTTATACAGAGTGCATGCATTTATGTAAACAATCCCACAGGGATTGTCCGACAAAGGACATTAAGTTTATCGAAGAATTTGTTCATAAACACTTATGACATTCACCTTGCATGATTAATACATTTGTTTAGCAATTTTGTGTTATTTATGCCTTTTTGAAAATTTTAAATAGGGAGTACTTTCCTTGAACAATGCAGCTTTTAAGATGTTTTGTTTTAACTAAAGTGTTTTCACATATTTTCATCGACTGTATAAAACAAGGACACGCATTTAAGGAGCATATAGCGCAGCCAGACTCGACTATTTCAAAACTGTCTGGTATTTTCAAAACTTAGCTTAGAATGAATTAACAAACAAAAAAACATGTAAAAAATAAATATAAAATCCGTATTAATCGGTTGATTAAAAGATAACAATTTCTGTGCGTACGTCATTTATTGTTTCTGATTAGCAATCATCAGGTGTCTTTGACATCTAGAGGTGGGAAAACCAAACATATAAAACGCTTACTGATATAAACCCCAAAAGGTCTATTTAGGCAACAGTAGATTATCGATGTTTTAATCTGATTACTCGATTAAGAATACATATCAAAGTATCGATGCAACTTTGCCTAATGAATTTGCGAACTTGGTTTCTTTAGTGCATACATATAATCTATGAACGGGAATAGAAGTGATATAATTAGAACTGTTATTATATTGGCCATTCCAAGCCACTATTTTGTTCCAAATTTTATGAGCAATACATTCACTCAAAGAGATATTTTACACACATTTACGTCTTTGAAAAAAATAAATTTGGTAGCAAAATATCTTATTGAGTAACGCTGTTGCTCTAATATAAATACTAATGACAAGATCTTGAAATGGCTATTTTTGCAGTTTTTGCTTATTGTACTAAATGTATTTAAAAGTTTAAAATCCCTAATTTTAGTATGTAAGACAAAGTTAAAAAAAGAAATATGAATAATGATGTCCTACAGAGTAATGTGTTTGTTATTTGGTAGCTTTATAATACTTTTTTGATTTTCGAATTCAAGGGGCCAACATAGTGGTCTTATCATACCGTTTCCCTCACAGTAAAAATGCATCATTTAAACTATGTCAATACCGGATGAAATGCTCGGGCTCTGTTAGTTCACCAGCGGTTCCGAACAACAGATTGAAAACAGTACGATTCAAATGTGCGCACACGACTCCTAATGGGAATAAGCTGTAACTTACTGGGTCAGTTATGATATATTTATGTTTAATTTAAGAATTAATAAATAACAACAACAACAACGACCAAACACGGTTAGCAGAAGATTGTCAAAATTTTACATAATAAAAATCCAAGCAGAAAAGTTAGAAATCCAAATTCTAAAAATAAAATTAAGAAGTACAAGATAATTATAGGAAAGCATTTGAAACAAAAAAAAAAACAAAATCAAAATATTTTTTGCCAAATCTATGCATGGGGAGTAGATAAAACCTTAGTGTTTTGAATTATGTTAACAAAACAAGGCATTCCTTAACGAAGCATTGATTAATACTAAAAAAAAAGCTCAGATATGAATTGCATTTTTAAAGCCTGTGTCGACTCTTTGTCATGACATATCGTATCAGTCGGATAAGCAGACTGGTGTTCGAATTATTATTTTCCTTTGGATTATAATTTTTTTCTTTTCATATATTAATATAATCGTCTTGTTTGTCGTTGATTCTTGTTCACATTTTGTCCACTGCCCTCAAAAACTAGGTTTACAAAAAAAACTACAAAATTGTTGCTTCTTTTTATTAGGATTAAAATTAACTTGTCAGGCATGGTGCATCTCCTTTTTTTTTTAACTTGGACACTTTCCGGTCTGAAATAATCCATATAATCTTTACCTTCTATTCATAGGATTGTATCTTGATTTAAAGGGTGGTGAAGTTATATCCTCGAGTTCTGCAAATGCTAAATTTAAATAGTAGAGGTGTCATCGGATACTGATTCACGTTTAGTTTATGGGATCTACTGTTGAACACTTTGATTTATTCTTCTATCGCACTGCAGTTTATGTGTGTAAAAGATGGAATTGTGTCATTGAATTTGTATTTTAAAAAGATATATTAAGATAGTAACATTGTGCAAATTAAGACCAATAAATGAATAATAGATACATAAATAAATTGATAGAATTAAAATTATGAAAAACTCCATTGAGAAAATAGCAAATGCTGCGTTTTATTTGTTTTAGCAAACTGTTGTAGTTATATAATACCCAGCACATCTTTTTAATCAAATGATATGTAGATAATGCTCTTCCCTATTTTAAGGATCGGCTTCTTTGCTTTGTGACATCCTGGTTTGAGGCTTTTCATTTTTTACCATTTTCTTTCAAATGGTTTCCCTATGCCCTGTGTTTCTTAACACGTTACCACGTTCATTTATTCATGCATTCGTAAAGAGAGTTTCGATATTTTTGACTGATATGTTTAAGATTTATAGTGTTACACTTATCTGGTTATAAAAAAATATCTAAAACAGATTGTTCAAAGATGTATGTACTATGAATATTTGAATGTTTGTCACTTACCAATATACTTTCGTTACAGGTTATAACCCAGTAATTCAGGGATTTCAAATTGTCATGGAAGGAAAAGATGGTGTCGATTTTGGAAGTGGTAGATGCTTGATATTACAGCTTCAAAACAAAACAAATATAGTTCTGGATTCATTTGTAAGTCTAATAACTTCGAAATTAGTATTGAGTATGCGAAAGGGTTGTTTTCATGTGTTTTCGTTCTGACTGGACTTTATTCAATCGTATTTTGTTGGAGAAGATTGAGAATTCTTTGTTCAGTTCAACACATTTTTTTATTGCAAAATCATACTGTTATATCACGCTTTTCCTGGCTCATTCATGTGTGTTTTATTACCTCTATTTCTCCCTCTTTGGATTCTTACTTTGGATTTTAGCATCCTACGCAGTAAAACCCTCATTAACATTTAAACTGTGTGATTTTTTTTATCTATAAAAATATGACTAATACGTATATAAAGCAATAAAAGAAAGGATAGATATTACACCTAAATAAAGTTGAAGACATAGAAGTGGATTTTTATGAACATTATATGATTCGTAACTAATAAACTCATCATAAATACCATCCTTAAGATTTTGTACGCCAGACGCGTGTTTCGTCTACAAAAAAACTCATCAGTGACGGTCGAATAAAATAAGTTAAAAAGGCCAAATAAAGGAATAGTTTCCTAAAAGTTCTGACATGGTCTAGAATATTTAAGTCTTTGGCATAGTATTTTCTAATAAAGGTGAATAAAAATTATAATTCAACTTAAAATATATTACAACGACTGGAAAGAGATAATTAAACCTTGTAATGTGTGTAAGAACTGGTTATCAGGATAGAATGGATATGCCGAAAGTGTAAGATCATAGGAAATTCATATTGATCATCTTGTATTCTAGGACACATTTTGCTACATCGGCATCAGCACTATCGTAAAAAAATATTAAAGTACGATACCTTATTATTATTAACTTGAAGGTATCATAAATATATAAAACAACGCTTTCGTTTCGTGATTACAAAGTTTCAGTATATTCAAACTTGTACAATTTTTAAAGAATCCTGATATCGTGGACGATTAATCACTTATTGTCCCTTTTAATGCATCATCAATTCTTCTGATTTTCATATTTCGAAATTTTTGGGCAACTGAACATTGAAGCATCATGAAGTTTAATTGGAAGATATAATTTATATGTGTACTACTTTCATAATAGTTTTTTATCGGGTTGTACAGAGTCGAATATCGGCTTTTGGTATGGTGGTTGGGGATAATATACCTAACAATAGATATCTTTTTCACTTTTCAACAGATTGTACAGTAATTGTTACCCCCTTCTTCAGTTATTATCTCTGACCATTGAAATTTACATATGCAAAGGATTTTTGCTAATATCTTCGTCGAAAATGAGGAAGTTTTGTTGTTCGTCGAAATTGTTGATTAATTCTTAATCAATTATTTTGTGAACACATGACATTTTTATGACCCTGCTGCAGCGGATGGGGCATTAAGTGTTACCCTTGTCCGTCTTTACGTACGTACGTCCCAAAATTGATTTTCGTTCTTTAACTTTAGTTTGCCTCAACCAAATGTTATGAAACTTATATACAATGCTTATTACCACAAAACACAAATCGAGATTGAATTTGGGTGGCGTCAATTATACCGTTCTAGAGTTATGCCCCTTTATATATTGAAAAATTGCTGATTTTTCGTTGCCATTCTGTAACTTCAGTTTGCTTCAACCAAATGCTATGAAACTTAAATACAATGCTGATTACCACAAAACTCAGATCAAGTTCGAATTTAGGTGGCTTCACTTTTACAGTTCTTTAGTTATGGCCCTTTATAGCGTTATATGCAAGCAGGGCATCATCTGTGTCTCATGGAAACATTCTCCATTTATTTATATATTCAAAATCTCTTAGCTTTAGTGACCAAGAGATTTGCAGTTCCACAGAATGTGTTCATAAACATTGATTTTATTCATTTTGTTTAAAGGAGAAATTTAATTAGGCACCTCTGTGTTCTTTAGACAACTCTCCACCAGAGACTAAATCACACAGAAGTTAACAACTATAGGTCACAGCACGGCCTTCAACAATGAGCAAAACCCATTCAGCATAGAAAGCTATTAAAGGACACAACTGATCAGATCTATGCAAAGCAGAAAAACAACTTACAAAAACACTGACCGAATGTTGCAGGGTATTCTTTCATCCTCCACAACAAATAAGACACAAAGTACAGATCTGAGAGTACTTTTTTTGGAAAAATGTACCTTTTAATATATTAAGTCTTTAATTATTGTGATTGCACATTTGTGGAAAATGTCAATATATTATATTATATATCCTCATTATAGCGAGCAACATATTGTGCAACTCTGATATTTTCGTAAGTCTCTGATCAACTTGAATCAAAATAAAGGTGAAGGTATAATAATGCCATCCTTTTTGGCCCCATGAATGCAAAAATAAAAAAAGTATTTTTAATTTACCAAATAACTTCCTTCAGATGTGTCAGTATTTATATTTTGTATACTATTTTTGCATTAGGGTTGTTAAATTCTTGAATTCAAAACTGCATAAATTGTAAAAAAAGAAAAGAACCCTTTTGAGATTTTGTCACTTATATTTAGGTATGAGCAACATCTTTACCCAAAAAGACATTTTGCTACAAGATGTATTTTACACCGATATTAACGAGTGTAAACTATATTTTTGGGTAACTGTTGTTCATATCTATTTTGTCAAAAACTATGTATAAAATAGTAAATTTAACACAAATAAGTCAATTTCTACATGGATTTGACATCATAGTGACATCACTCTATATCGGTACTTTGTGTCTTTTTATCTTTTTGTCTTTTTGTTAGTTGGTTTTTGTGCCTCGTACCGGTCTAAGCAGTGTAAGCCCTTTCAAACTGAATTTTAAATAATTGTGCATATAATATACTGTTACACAACTTTCCCAGATCAGGGAGAGTGTTGAGCGACGTGTAAACATGTTCAGTTCTGTCTTATTCTGTATATGCCGGTCCCGAGTCAGGATCCTGTAAATTAGTGGTCGTCCTTGGTTGCTGTCAGTCATATTATTTTTCGTTGCTGTTTCACCATAAATCAGTTTTCTAGTTTGAATTGTTTTACATTTTGTCATGTCGGGACCTTTTATATGTTACTATACGGCATGGGTTTTGCTCATTGTTTAAGGCCGTACGTTGACCTATAGTTGTTTAAATTCGCGTCATCTGGTCTATTGTGGATTTTGTTTGTCATTAGCAATCATCTTATTTTTTTTGGCCCCTACAATTTTTAAATTATTGAACTTTTTTTAAACCTGTAAATTAATTCAATTAAATTATTGATGATTTGATTGGTCAGTCTATTATTTTTTAAGTATAGTGTTTTTCGTCTTTTTTGTCTTTTTTCGTCTTTTGCAATGTTTCGTCGGGTTTTCTTCTGTCTGTCTTTTTTTAATATAGAATTCATTTTCTTATTATATGTAATTAACTAGAATTTCATCCCAGCTTTATTGAAAAAGTTATACCTTTGTGTTGTACATTAAAAAAGAAATAAAGATCTCTTGGTTTTAATTTTTTTTAGACCGTGTCAACTGCTAAATAGTACTTAAATATTTTTCATTTATAACAACAAAAACATTGTAATTCTTCATTTATAACAACACAACATTGTATCATGATTTTCCATATCAACTTTTGTTCTTGTAGGAAACATTTTACCTCATGATAGATGGTGTTCAGCCGATGTCTACTTATGGCTTCCTTCTATACAACTTACCTCGCTACAATCCGTTTCAACAACAGACACACAGATTGGAAACAGATGTGGACACGACTAAATTTACTGGTTTGTAGAAATTCGATTTAAGAAAGTTTAAACTGGGCATTTAAGAACAATGTTTGAAAAATATTGTACATTTTCAAATGAAAAACTCGAAAAATATAACAAAAATAACAAAACTAAAACCAATCGCTTTTTATCTCACTTGGCCAAAAGGGCATGTTTGATTTTTTCTTATCACTTGATGTGCACCATTCGTCGTCTGTCTCCACGCATCCGTCAACTTAAAAATCTTCCTCTCTGAAAGTTCTTGATAAATACAAAAATGCCCTTAAGACGACTCTCCGCCAGACACAACATGACGAAGAAGGTCTAGAAACCCTAGAAACAGCTAATTGCTATAATATCTTGATACATTTATGATCGGCTTGAAGAAATATTGTTGATAACTTCATCAACCAGTTCCACTGAACATCAAAACATTTACAAAAACACTAAATGATAAGTTTAACTTTTCCACAAAAGTATAGTAGTATAGTACAGTAAGTAGAGTGTTTCGCTGTAAGATTAATTTACGTCAGGTTTTGTTTTGTGATTTTTTTGAGAGTTAGACATTTTGATGCAGAAGAATTTTTAAGGTTTTTTTTCTTTTCGGGTACCTTTAGTTTGGTTTCAGTTTTTCAGTTGTTCATGACTGGTGATATGATATAAACATCATGATTGTCTGAACTTTCCAGCTCAACAGGATTGAGCTAATATAACAATCTTCCACAAGCTTTTACATGATACTTTTTAGCTCACCTGGCCCAAAGGGCCAAGTGAGCTTTTCTCATCACTTGGCGTCCGTCGTCCGTCGTCGTCGTCCGTCGTCGTCCGTCGTCGTCGTCCGTCGTCGTCCGTCGTCGTTAACTTTTACAAAAATCTTCTCCTCTGAAACTACTTGGCCAACCAACCAAGATGGCCACCATGGCTAAAAATAGAACATAGGGGTAAAATGTAGATTTTGGCTTATATCTCTGAAACCAAAGCATTTAGAGCAAATCTGACATGGGGTAAATTGTTTATCAGGTCAAGATCTAACTCCCCGGATATTTCAGATGAATCTGACAACCCGTTGTTGGGTTGCTGCCCCTGAATTGGTAATTTTAAGGAAATTTTGCCGTTTTTGGTTATTATCTTGAATATTATTATAGATAGAGATAAACTGTAAACAGCAATAATGTTCAACAAAGTAAGATCTACAAATAAGTTAACTTGACCAAAATGGTCAGTTGACCCCTTAAGGAGTTATTGCCCTTTATAGTAAATTTTTAACCATTTTTCGTAAATTTTTGTAATCTTTTACAAAAATCTTCTCCTCTGAAACTACTAAGACAAATGTAACCAAACTTGTCCACAATCATAATTAGGGTATCTAGTTTAAAAAATGTGTCCGATGACCCCGCCCACGAAACCAGAGGGCCGACATGGCTAAAAAATAGTACATAGGGAAAAAGGCAGTTTTTGGCTCATATCTCTGAAACCAAAGCCTTTAGAGCAAATCTGACAAAGGATAAAATTGTTCATTAGGTCAAGATCTATCTGCCCTGAAATTTTCAGACCAATCAGGCAACACGTTGTTGGGTTGCTGCCCCTGAATTGGTAATTTTAAGAAAATTTTGCAGCTTTTGGTTATTATCTTGAATATTATTATAGATAGAGATAAACTGTAAACAGCAATAATGTACAGCAAAGTAAGATCTACAAATTCGTCAACATGACCAAATTATCAATTGACCCCTTAAGGAGTTATTGCCCTTTATAGTCAATTTTTTACAATTTTTATAAATTTTGTAAATTTTTGTAAATTTTTACAAAATATTTTCCACTGTAACTACTGGCCCAAGTTCATTATAGATAGAGATAATTGTAAGCAGCAAGAATGTTCAGTAAAGTAAGATCTACAAACACATCACCATCACCAAAACACAATTTTGTCATGAATCCATCTGTGTCCTTTGTTTAATATGCACATAGACCAAGGGAGCGACACAGGCTCTTTAGAGCCTCTAGTTATCGTCGGAAGCAATTATCGAAATTTAGTCATCGAAAGTATATCTAATTACAATATTATATCAGATCTGGCACCGTGCACTCTAGATTTCCGAAGTTAGATTTTTAAACATATATGGAGTATCAAGTATGCTCTAGACCAACTTACCTTGGTGTTGGTAAATGACCTAATTAATGAACAGGATAGTAACTGAAGCAAAACGTAACAATTAAATCATGCTGCCACTGAAGCATTTGCGTGCATTACCTGCATTCAAATGGAAAATATTTAAAATAATCCATTTTAGTCTTCACTTCCGCGTAAAATAGTCCATTTTAGTCTTCACTTCCGCGTAAAAATCTGACAAATAAAACGATCTCTTATCGTCTTTTGTCACAAAACAGTTTAAAGTCATAGGTACACTTCCGGCATTAAGCCTTAAGACAATACATTTTCAGTTTTTTGCGGCTTTGTGAAGGCTGCAGAAGGAAATATAATTGACAAAAGAAGATTTTCATAATTATTCACTCGCCTAAGTTCAGGAATTCTAAATGACGCGTACCTTAGTTACAGAACGAGAAAGCGCGGATTTTTACCCTCTCAAAATATATTCAATCGTTAGATCAAATCGTTGCTTCTAACGAGTTGCATGATAATTGCTCACATGAATTTAATGTCATACGTTTTATATTACTACCATTAGGTCGGAAAGCTATATTTGAAATGTAAAATCACCGTAGGCATCTTTTTTCAAATAGGTAGTGCTTTGGTATCGTCATTATTTATGAAACAATATGATTTCTTAACAGAAAAGATATCTACCGTTAAACTTTATGTCTCTAACAGCAGACAATGTAATTTTCTTTACAATATGACAAGATCTAAATCGCCACTGCCTAGAAAAAGGGATAAGATTGATACCAAAAAGCAAACAGTTGCCACAAACACAAATAATCTAGTTAAAGGACAAACACATTGAGATGTAACTAAAGAAAACCACTGATGAAGTCTTTTACTTGGGACCGCCACATGAATATGAAACCTAAACGTTTTACCGCATAACCTATACCTGTTTTAATCTCATTGGCAATCATATCATATCTTCTTATTTTTATACAAACATATAATAAAAAAAAATCTGGTTCGCCAGACGCGCGTTTCATCTACGTAAGATTCATCATTGGGGCTCGATTAAAAACAGTTGGAAGCCAAAATCATATACGGAGGTGAAGAGTATTATTGGCCGAAAATTCTGGAAAAGTTGTGTCAAATACGGTTATGCAATCTATGCCGGGGGTATAAAAGCCTTTGTGTTACGACTAAATCAGCATTTTAATTCTACAAATATGGCAGACCACAGGTTCGAGTTACAGATACTAAGATTTCTTTGAGTATTATTTTATAAAGTAAGTCGCCTACTGATCCAAACTCAAAGCTGTGGATGATAATTTAAACATAGATATTGAAGATTTTTTTTAAAAAGATGTACAAATTTTGGTTGTTGTAATAATATCTTATTGAAACATAAATTGTCCTAAAATGTTTTAATGATATTGCCTTCAGATAAGCCTATTATGAATTCATCGCTTTCAACCATGATGGTAACTATTTAGCCTGCTGAATAACAAGCGAACCTTAATTTATAACTTGAAAATAATTTTTTGAATTACAAATGGATTCAATCGTTGATTGTACCGTGTAAAGAGCTGAAATTACCAGTGGTGGATCCACTTGGCGAATTCCGAATTTTGGCACAAAACTCATCAAAGATGATGCAATTGATACCTTTGAAATAAAATTTGGCACAAATGATAAATATCCAAAAATACCAAATGGTGCAAAATTACTGTAGACACCATCGTCTAGTATAAGTCGCTTATGATATATTTGTATAAAAATATCACTTTTACAATTTTTTAGCAAAACTAAACATTCGGATATATAACACGAATTAACGGATTTACGCTTCTCACTCTTCTCCACGCGAAATGATGGATGCCACAAGTGAAGCAGGGTCTGTCTACCCTTCCGGAGCACATGCGATTACCCAGAGTTTTTGGTGGGATTTTTGTTGCTCAGTCATTGGTTCTCTATGAAGTGTTATTTCGATTTGTTTGTCTTTTCATCGTCTTTTTTGCCAAGGCGTTGTAAGATTCTGTCCAATTTATGAGTTTTGAATATCCCCTTGGTATCTTCCGCCTCTTGTTTTGACTGTAGGTTATCAGTATGTAATAAGGTTATTATATAAAACAGTACATAAGAATAAAAGTACCTTATAAGGTATGTTTCATTTGCTATGAAAAAAACATTTAATTTGCATATTATATCTAACATGTAAAGAACAATAGATGTTGTTATTACGGTTATTAGTTGTTTTAGTTGCGTGTATTGGTTTCTTATTAAAGATCTGCTTTTATTTGAAAAAAATAAGCTTAATCTAAATTCATATGAAATTGATGCTTAGATATAAATACAATTTAATTTTAAACTTATTTGCCACAAAAAACTGCACAAGCAGATTTGATCTATATGGAAGAACATCTGACATCGACTCAACAGATAAAGTTTTACGGTCACTATCACGAATTGGTTGAATTGGCTACGATAAGTCGGTGACTCAATTCACATTTTATAGTTATTAAGATACAAAAATAGTCGTCTGATCTGTAAAACGGATTGTGTCCTATTTCCGATAGTTACAATTTGACTGAGTGTTGATTTACATTGCGGGTGATACATGCATTGCAGGAGACTCTCCCCCTGTCGACGCCCCCGGTCTCGTTTCTTTTTGAGTTTATTAGATCCCTTCAGCGTTTGTTTCTTACCTTGATTTTTATTTTTTAAATTGATTAATAAGATTTGAACAATGGTAAACTTCTGTTGCCTCTAATTTACAATGAACTGACGAATAACAACATAAAAGCACCATTCTATTGATAAAAAAGAAGAAGAAATTACTGTGTAATATCTAAACCACCTGCTTCAGCATCAAGCACAAAGCATTTATTACCATGTTATGATTTATTATCTTTTC